CACTGAATGCAGTATGATAACATTATTTGTTATTTCATAAAGGTTCCTTGAACTTTAGTCTCTCAGTCACTTACTCAATTCCCTGAAATGTGCGTTGACACAATCATTCGTCAGGGCAGACCTCGGTTGTTCTATTTTCTTTAACATTTCTCTAAATTACTGAGGACCCAAATGAATGCAATCCATTCATGTAAAGTATATAACTTTAAATTTATTAGATGCTCAATTTATCTTGCAAGAAGTGTAGCTTTGTCTTATGTATTTACTGTATAATAATCTTGAATTAATGAAGTGTATAATAAAAAGTACTAATTTATAGTACTCACATATTTTTAACAAAATATGTGTATCATTTTGTAATAAAGTTGAATATTTTACATGTATTTGTGAGTGTTCATTTTGAATTTTAGCATGTCTTAAAAAACCCACGTTGAGTGTAATGAAACGCCTCTTGTTGGTGGGACCTTGGTGCCAGCTACTTGGAAAACTTCACCCAATTCAGTACCAGGCCCATGTGAGTAATTGTAAGGCTACTGGGGGGACTAGAGGCCAAAACCTTCCGCCCCCCCCCCCCCCCCACCCCCCCATCCCCTTCCTTCACTTTAAAAAAGTGCAAGGAGCAGCAGATCCTAGATTACCTATCCAAGAAAAGGCCACCAGAAAGGCAAGCAAACTAAAACATACAATCGGCAAGGTAAACAATAGAAAATGAGACCATGAGAACCTGAAATGAACAACCCATCCAGTCGCAAAGCAGTTCTCTCATTAGTTCCACCTACACACCACCAGGCAACTGCAAATCTTCCTACTCGATTCCCTAGCCTTGAACTTCAGTCATTTAACCTGAAAAACTGAAGTCCCCTGAATGAGGATGAGAGAGTCCTAAGGAACCACCATGGTCCCACCAGAAAGAGGCATTTCATTATATTCAACACTGGTTTTCTAGGAGGGCTCCTATTGGTGGCTTCTGGGTGCTAAAACAAAAGAGGTATTCACCAGGGTTGGAAAAGAGCTGCAGAAAGTAACCCGATGATGGGAGGTAACGATGATTTTACTGCCACACAGCCATGTGAGCTTGGCATTGACCAAGACCATTCATCAAATAGTTTTTACAGGCTCAAAAACCCTTGAGCCTGTAAAAACTATGGACAGAGCTACAAACTTATGAACATCATGTGCCCAAAGGTAGAAAGCAGGCTGGCTAAACCTGATGACATTATGGACAGACTGAGACAAATGGGGCCCAGGAGCTATGAACCAAAAACAACAGATCCACAAAGAGTGTGTTTTCCCCGCACACCTCTAGTGGTGTGGAGGTAATGGTGAATGGCTACAACCGGACCAGTTACCTTGTGATGGTTTCGAGGATTACTGTCTGTGACCTGTTCACTGACCCAGACCTCCTGGTTGGTGATCTGATCAACCAGGACATATGAATCATAGCTTGGTTGATCAGGTATCCTTTGGAAGTGTTTATTAAGTTCACTTTTGAACACCATGAGAGGTTAGTCAGTTATTCCCCTTTTGTGTAGAGGGGGAGAGAGTTGAAAAATCTTGGGGTCTTGATGTTGATAGAGTTCTCTCTTAGTGTACCTGTTGTACTTCTGCTTTTCAGCAGGATTATTTTGCACTTCCTGCCATGTCTTCTAGTTTCGTGGTGTTATTTTTCGGGTGCAGATTTGGAACCAGTCCCTCTGATATTTTTCAAATGCAAATAATTATGTATCTCTCCAGCCTGCCCTCTAGGAAATATGAATTTATAAATTTTAAGTAGTTGCAATAATTTAGATGTTTTATTGAGTGAATTCTAGCAGTAAAAGACCTTTGCATGTTCTCTAGGTCAGCAGTTTTTCCAGCTTTGAATGAGGCTGTTATTGTGCGACAGTATTCCATTCTAGAGAGAATTAGTGTCTTGAAAATTAACTTCATTGATATCATTGCTTGTTTGAAAGGTTCTTGTCATCCAACCTGTCAATTTTCTTGCAGTTGCGACAGCTACTTTATTGTGTTCTTTAAAAGTAAGGTCTTCTGACATGATTACCCTAAATTTTTTATACTGTATAGCTTTTTCATTCTACTGTATAGTGGGATTTGACTGAGTCAGTCACCAAAGGACTCCTCCAGAAACCAGTCATTTTATTCTTAACCAGAAAGAAAGGAGAGGGCTGTAAGTGAAGAAAATGATTCCCAGGATCCATAGAATAAAACTCCTGCTTCTTGAGAAGAGCATTGAGCTCCCAAACCCAACAACCAGCAGGAAGGGCCAACAAACACAAAGTCTTGAAGAAACGATCCTGGACTACAAGAGAAGGATGGGATGGGACGGGGAAAGGAATGGTGCCCAACCACTTGGGTTGGATAGTAGAGCAACGGTTTCGCTTCGTGCAGGTCAGCATTTAATTCCCAACTGTCCAACTGGTTGGGCACCATTCCTTTCTCCCCCTCCCATTACAAATCCTTTTCCTGATCCCTTTCAAGTGTTATATAAGCATAATGGCTTGGGACTTTCTCCTGATAGTTCCCCTTCCATACAGGGTCAATAGAAAACTGAGGAGAGGAAAAACCAAAACCTTGTCCAAAGACCAAGATGCCTCAAGAGCATGAGCAGGCCAGAGGAGACAAAATGCCAAAGACAACTTGTGAAATGGGGCTAACGATACATTGACACCACCATTGTAAATGATACAAGGCAACAGTAGTTGGCACTAGAAACCTATTTGTAAACAACCAAGACAAAAAAAGAGAAGACCACAAGCACAAAAACTGAGGATGAGCAAGGAAGAGAGAAAAAAAAAGACAGGAGTGCTAAGAAACCTCATGGCATTTGGGCAGGCAGAGGAAACCAAATGCCAACATCATAGACATGTGCACTAGGCAAAATTATGGAGGTTCAAGGCTAAGGGATTGAGGAGGAAGGTGCACAGCCTCCTGGCAGTGTGCAAGTGGAACTTATGAGAGAACTGCTTCATGACCAAGTGGTTCATCTCTCTTGGGGGTTCAAAGTTTCAATATATCTTTGCTTTGTTTACTTTTCTGATCATATTTTTGGTTCACCCTGGTGAATTCTGGTGGCCTTTTCTTGGTTATGGTGATCTAGGATCCCCTGCACTTGGCACCCCTTTAGAGGTGGTCAGGGGTTTTGACTTCTGGTCCCTTGTAGGCTTACAATTTATTTATTTATTTATGCATATACAAGAATGTACATAAGGAATGTGAGGATACAAATATGGTAATTACAGTCTTGTAAAGCCACTATCACGCGCAAAATGACTTGCAAAAGCATGGCATGGATTGAATTTGGTGGAGCTATCCAGGAGCCTTCTCAAAAAGATGTAAAGATGAACTACATACTCTACCAGTTTGCTTGTCAAGGAGGTAGTCATGTTTAGCAGAGCATTTTCAATATAACAAAATTGTGGATCAGGTCTTTGAAGTTAGTATGTGTGATTCACTTTAGCACACAATTGTCAAATTCTAAGTGAAGGTAAAATCATACATAATTCTAATAGTACACCCCAAGAAGGCAAGTTAAAATACCAGCCAAATTTGTTTTGTCACACACAAGTACAGTATTTGCATAAACAGTATACAGGTATACTGTATTGTATAACTCCCATTGTTGGGTACAGAAAGCCTGTACCAGGCACTTATTGAGATCCCCCTAGGTCAACTACTGACCTTCCCCAGTATGCAACCCCCTCAACAATTGGCAAAATCATAGCTAGCCGTTTTACTGTTAAGTGAACAGAGGCATCAGATGAAAGGAAACACGTCCAACCATTTCTGCCCTGCTCGGGTATTAAACCTGGATCCGTCAGTGGTGAGCCAAGGACATAGACCATGTGTCTTGGAATTGCACATGAAGGAATGGGGAACATCTGTTCTCCCATTTATAAGGTAAGTCTGTATTGTAATGAAATATTATACTGTACATATTTTGTAACAACATTTTAAAATTCCTTTTTGGCAATGATTTACCAAAAACTCAGTTAACTTAGACATAAAAACAACAATAATACAGGAAATTCCAGCATGTTAGTAAAGATAAGTCAAACCAGATATGGGAGTGTGTATTAAACTAATATCAAGACACTTGGCCTTTCTATCTAGCCATGCTTATTTGGACTTTTTGTGAATAAGTTTGGCAAGTTCAGTTTGTTGGACTAGGTATAGGTTAGGTAAGGAATGTGTGTTGTCAGCATTAATAGTGAGTTAGGAGCGAGTTGGAAATGGGTCAACTTGTCTGAAATATTTAGATTGCTGTATTGGTAATTTGCACTGCCTGCCATTGGACTGAATGATTCAGTGCAAATTTTTACATATATATATATATATATATATATATATATATATATATATATATATATATATATATATATATATATATTTATATATATATATATATATATATATATATATATATATATATATATATATATATATATATATATATATATATATATATATATATATATATATATATATATTTGTTTATTTATTTATTTATTTATTTCTTATTAGTCTCCATTTAGAAACCTAATACTTGTCCTTTGATGTTTCAGTGTTAATTAAGATTTTTCCTTCAGGGATGACCCCTTAACTCCTAAAAAACACCCTAATTTTGTTTGATTTGCTAGTGTGTTTAACAAAAAAATAATTATATTTTTCCATCCTGTTTTGTAAAACTGGTTTCTAATGTCAAGAGAAAAATTCTAGGCATTTCAGTTTGGCTGTAGTGAGCAAAGAAATGTGGATGACATATTTTGAGAAATCTTTTTCAGGTTAACTTTTTGTAATAGGTTTCTCCTCATCACTAATGTCTTCGAGGTCCATAAAATTTCATGAAACTTTGCTTGGTATCACTGGTTCCCAGCATGGGCATCAGTGGGTGGTGATACACCTTACATGGTACCTGTCTTATTACTAGGGCCCAGGAAGAACAATAAGGCATGCTTTCTGGCATGTTCAAAAAGCTTATAGTATATTTCTGGCAAGTCCAAATAGCCTATAATTCTGGCAAATTAAAAATTTTTGTTTTTCTAGCAGTCTTATCTACGGTAGCTAGAATTCCATCTTCGAAAATTTTCTCATCAAACCTACAGGAGTTTCATGTGTTCATGGACTGTAAGGATTTCAGTAGAACTCTTGCTTATTGAATTGTTGATATATTTCTTTGTTTATCTTCCCACATGCGAGCTTGATCCCACGTGATAATATTGTTGTTTTTGGTGTTGATAGTGTCTGGTACAGGCAGATATCCCAGCTGGTCGTAGTGAATTGTGCAACCTTCATCAACTGCTCGACTTTCCTGTAGGGTTAGGTCAAGTTGCCACATCTGAAAAACAGTGCATGTATATTTTAATGACTTTACCCAAACGATGAAGTTGGTGCTGTCTGTAGTTTTGGTGTTTCGAGGTATCATGACATACTGTACTGTATTTTCTGGCATATAAGATTATTTTACAAGGATATTGTGTGGATTTTTTGTATTTCATCATATATTTATTAATAATGAATTTCAAATGGTTTTTAGAGGAAAACATTTGATTTTGTTTATGTAAATATAATATACATTCTGTTGGTGGTGGACACAGAAACATGTCTTGTCTGCCAGAAAATACAGTAAATATTGTAATGTTCTGTAAATTACCAAAGTTCCTGTGCAGTAATACAAATAAATAGAGTAAATAATTTGTTTTGTTTTTTAACAAGATATGAGGATACAGTATAAGATTTGGCCCATGAGAGCCTGTTAGATGTTATGCAAGAGAGAATATGCATAGAGCCACTACACCAGCATTATAAATACAGTAGTGTTAAATTTGTGCTGTATATTGATGCAAGCTGAATGGGCCAATGGGCAGAAAAGGCTATGCCAACTGTTGGCAATTCCTGTTTCCCATTCTCGGAGACAGGAAACCTCACAATCTAGGTTCCTAGGTTTGATCCTGGGCAAGCTAGGAATGGTTAGGCAAATTTCTTTTCACCTGATGCCTGTGTTTACCTACCGGTAAATGGTTACAGTACTCAGGAGTTAGACAGCTGTTGTAGGCTGCATCCTGGGAAGGGTCAGTAGCTATCTTGAGGTTATCTGGAGATGATTTCGGGGCTTTAGTGTCTCCGCGGCCCGGTCCTCGACCAGGCCTCCACCCCCAGGAAGCAGCCCATGACAGCTGACTAACACCCAGGTACCTATTTTACTGCTAGGTAACAGGGACATAGGGTGAAAGAAACTGCCCATTGTTTCTTGCCGGCGCCCGGGATTGAACCCGGGACCACAGGATCACAAGTCCAGTGTGCTGTCCGCTCAGCCCGACCGGCTCCCATAGCTGGTCTAGGGGAAGGCCTAGGGTCTAGATAAACCTATTACAGGTTTCCTGTCCCAGACAACAGTAATTATACTTCAAATAATAGCATTCAAGTTGGCATATAATCGAGCATGATGCACTAACCTTTGATAATTGTAACAGTAGTTCTTCTGAGCGATCTAGCCGGAGTATTTTGATGATGCGCTCAAGGCGATCACTGGTGACTTGGAGGCCCAGAAAGTCATACAAGTAAGCAAGGACTTGACGTGAATGACGTACAAGATGCTCATAATGCAAAACCTACAAGATGATATTGTTGACATCAAAGTTATGCTATACATTGTTTTAATTTTAAATAATGTAAAAGTTGAATTTATTTGTAAATTGGGATAAATAGTTAAAAAAAATAATTGTATTTACTTTCATTATTAAGTATTTACAGTACAGTAGTTATTTATTTATTTACAGTTAAAGTATTTACATTACACTACTATACTGCAGTTCAATTCTTCCTCATTATAATACAGAGATTCCAAATAAATTGACATCTGCAAGTTGCTAAATTTGGAATTTTCCCTTAAAATTTTAAAACTGAGATGTCGCAATACAATGGAAGTTCACTCAAGCAAACTAATTCAGATTGAACTGTTTTCATTTCAAAAAGGATTCTGGTTCATGGAGTTTTACTAGTCTTTCTATTTACAGTATTGCTACTTTCTAAGCTAAAGTCCCTTAGCCAGAGCCTTAGGGTTTAACTGGGCTAGGAGAGCCCACTAGGCTCTTATTAACCTTGTTTCCCATTGTGACAAATATGGGAGATGTAAACATTATTTTACACTTAACTATCATAGAAAGAGCACCACAAATATGACAAACACAGTCTCTACACTTAGCTACAGTAGTGGAGAAACCAACTAACCGTCCCACTGATGTCAGAGAACTTCCCAAACCGAATGAATCACCAGCATACATTTTCTTCCAACTGCCAGCATTCCAATAATATTTCCTTCTTTAATCGTATCCCCCTGTTTATTTCTTCCTTTGTTTCAGTGTAGGAAACCAGTTTGAGTTCCAAACTGGTTTCCCTGCATTTAACACTGATTTTTACAGCATATTTACCTGTCACAAAATTTACTTGGGAAACTCTCTTTGCCTTCATGGGTTCTTATTTATATCATTTTAGAGAGGAATGTTCTCACACTGTAACCCTGCACTGTACATGTGCAGAACTAGCCTCACTCCTAGGGGTCGGACAGTCTGGCACTGGCGGGAGTTTCAAATGTATTCCATTTCAAACCAATACAGTTCCAACTGTATTACCTGTTGCCAACACTTTTATACATATTCTTCCCCCCCCCCCCAAAAAAAAAAAGACCCCCTTCCTTACAAAGCATTTCGGGCAACTATTGACTTTGCCCAGGATGCAACCCACAAGTGTTGCCTAATTTACCATTACCTATTTAACTGCTAGGTAAATAGGGGTATCAGATGATAGGAAACATGCCTAACTGTTTCCTTTGGTTTCCTCACTTCAGTTTGAGTTTAATGTTAATTATTCTGTTTTAATTTGATGGGATTGATATCATAATCAATTAGGGTGGTGGGTGCTTCTGGGCCATATGTAATATTCATTATAATTGGTGTATTCTTTTTCCTGGCCAATGGCGAGTACTGGCATTTTTTGTACATGAACAGCTACAAAAGTACAATGGCATTTTGCCAATGGCAAAACACATACTGAGTGTTTTTCAGTCTCAATGGGTAAGCTGTGTGGCTCACAGAACAACTCTGCTCTGGTTTGATTCTTATTGTCTAAGTTGAATAGAGATGTAATATAAATCAAAGGTTAGATTAATTTTTATTCAGTGCCAGTAATCTCATTGTTATGGCATCAGAGATATTAATTATTTATATAATAATTACTATATACATGTTGTATATTATTTGTTGGAATCATGTTTTTTTTATTTTATACATACAGTATGTGGGAGGGACGTGGCAAGGTAGTCAGAAATGTTGTGATTTAACTCATAGCAAGTTAAATTGCTATGAGGTGATTCAAGGACTCAAGGTGATTCTTGTTTTTAAAAATGAAGAACTCTCTTTGAAAGTGATAGGATGAAGGCTAATTGGTGATGAGATGAAGCACACTGTGAGAAAGAATATGTACATGTGGCAAAGTGTGTTCTTACCATAACAGAGTCTGGGTAGAGCTTATGCATGTGGTTGACAACATCTAGATCAGCAGCCATGGTCGCACACAACACAGATGCCTGCACATGCAACACATACATTATCCTTCATACTCTACTGTATAGAAATTGTAAAATCAATAAAATATTGCAGTACTGTACTAGGATTTCAGAATTAATAATCTGAGAATTAGAAGTCTAAAAACACTGAGAATCCAAAAATACTTTAAAAATTTAATTATTATTCTAAATCAGACAAAGAATTAAAAATGTGAAAAACTTGTAGGTTCTTGCAGTTGTCAGGCAGAATGGTGCCATAGAAAGGTATTGTTTACACAATCATAAAGGTCGCTTATATGTTGTTATTATTCTTAAGTGATGACTGCAGTAGTTGGAGTGTTGAAAAATACAAATAAATTTAACTGACAATAGCACAAAAAAAGCAGCATTGAATGTTATGAAATGGCTCTTTCTGGTGGGTTCTTGGTTCATACCTCCTTAGTACTTTCTGCCTGCCAAGCACCCAATTCAATCCATGGCAGGCCTTTATGAGTCATAAATAAGCCTACTAGTGACCAGAGGTCAAAACCAGGCTCTCTCTAGAGAGGCACAAGGAGCATGGGATTAAATCATCCTGCCCAAGAAAAGGCCACCAGAATGTTGACAAATGAAAACAAATGACAGCAAGGCAAACAAACCATAGAATATAGAACAGGGAAGCCTTGAAACTCAGGGACCACTCAGTGGTGAGGCAATTCACTTTAGTTATACATTTGTACAACCTGGGGGCTGCTTATCTTTCTCCTCAATTACCAACCTTAAGTCCTCCATCATATAGCCAGGAAATCATCAAACCGAAGCACCCACCCTGACCTGTGGGGTGGGTAGCCAGGTTGCCAGATTGGGCAACTTGTAGCCCAATTGGGATACCAATTAGGATAATTGTATTCCAATTGTATCCCAAGCAGCCACTAAGGACCAACCAGGAAAAGGCATTTTCTTACATTTAATGCTGGTTTTCTGGTAAGGTGCTAAACTGTCACTAGAGGAACACACAAAGAACATTGTACAAGGAGCGTATGTGTCGCTTTCCAACTTCACACTTGCTTTAAACTTCATGGATGGTGAAATACTTAAGAAGCTGTTCATGACTTTTGTGGGACCAAAATTAGAAATATGCAGCAGTTGTATGGTGCCCATATCTCAAGGAGCACTTCAGTAAACTGGAAAAGGTGCAAAGGCATAAAACAAAATGGCTTCCAGAACTGAAAAGAATAGAGTTACAAGGAGAAGCTTAGAGGCGTTAAATTTGCCAAAGCTAGAAAATAGAAGAAAAAGAGGTCATCTTCTTGAGGTTATCTTGAGATGATTTCGGGGCTTTTTTTTTTTAGTGTCCCCGCGGCCCGGTCCTCGACCAGGCCTCCACCCCCAGGAAGCAGCCCGTGACAGCTGACTAACTCCCAGGTACCTATTAACTGCTAGGTAACAGGGGCATTCAGGGTGAAAGAAACTTTGCCCATTTGTTTCTGCCTCGTGCGGGAATCGAACCCGCACCACAGAATTACGAGTCCTGCGCGCTATCCACCAGGCTACGAGGCCTGTACGAGGCCTATGAGGTCATATGATCACTTACAAAATAATAACATGAATCAACCAAATTGACAAAGAGGAATTCTTAAAATCAGCACCTTCAGAAACAAGAGGACACAAATTCAAGCTAAGAAAACAAAGGTGCCAAAAAATATCAGAAAGTATTGTTTTGCAGAGTGGAAGACAGTTAGAACAAGTTAAGTGAGGTGGTGGTGGAGGCCAAAACCATCAGTACTAGTAGTTTCAAAACATTATATGACAAAAAGTACTGGGAAGACGGAACGCCATGAGCGTAGCTCTAATCCTGTATTGACCGATACACTTAGATAATTACACCTAGCTACCCAGGCTCAATGGTCAGGTCTGTTCCTTCAGGTGCACAGTATAGTGTTTGAATTTGTAGCTGGTATGCTCAGAGGAGGATTCGGCTTCCTCGAGACTCCGTGCTTCAGCTTCATTCCGACTGCTTCCCGGTTGTTCGTTGCCTGAACCAATGGGAAAAACGGGGGAGTTCTTCAGTCCACTGTCCTGTGGAGCTGGGCATTTTGAGTAGTCAACTTCCGGCTTCTTGGGATTCGGTTCTCTGCTCGATTCACATGCAGAGTGTGTTCGTCATTCTTGCAGATACTGGTTGGCCCTGTGAGTCATTTGGTTGCCCCGAGGTGGACCTCTTCACATTGGCATGGAACTACCACCTTCCCTCCTTAGTAACTTTGTTCCCTGATTGCAAAGCTCTCAATTGGATTGGTAGAGGTGGGGGGAGTATTTCCCCTTTCATCCCTGTTCAGTTGATGCTTCGGGGGAATGTCCAGTCTGGAGTTGTATTTGAGGAGGATGATCCTTCTGGCTCCTTAATGGGCAGCCCAGTCTTAGTTTCTGGTGCTTCAGTCCCAGGTGTCTGAACCTGGGTGCTTTTTCACAATTCCGCCTCTTCCAGCAGATCAGCTTGGCAGTGTATTTCGCTGGTTTGAACTTCTGCTCTGTGCTTCTCGTTTGGAGTTTTTTAAGTGTGTCTTTGCTATTTGAATGGCAAGTGAGTGGCTGGTTTGTTGGTGTCCCACATACATCTTTCTTTACAGCAGCAGCAGCATGAAGTTGCTTGGTACTCGTTTGGCCACTGCCTGACTATGTCATTTTTCTTTGGTTTCGGTCTGGTCTTTCCTGTCATCTTTTTTTTCTTGATTCTTTCTTGATTGGCATCTCATGCCTAATGTTGTCTCATCATTTGGCATTGGTGCAGCCACTGTTTCTTACCTTCTGTGTTGAGACCTCCAGGTGCTGCTTTGCAAGTTGTCTTGTGTGTTTTTTCACCTCTGGCCTGCTCATGCTCCTCCTGAGCCATCCTGGTCTCTTTGCCATGTTTTGGATTTTCTCTCCTTGCCATGGCTTACAATTTCCCATTTGGTTTGTAATATCTTTCTTTGGATACCTTCTTGTTGGCTCTTACCTCTGGCTGTAGAGTTTTGGAGATTCAGGCTCTTCTCTGGAAACAGAAGTTATAATCAATTGGTCCTGGTGGGGGATTTATTCATTTGCAGCCTTTTTTTTTCTACCAAAGAATGAAACGGTAGGCTTCTGGAGGGGTCCTTTGGTGATTGATGCTTTGTTGGTTCAGCCGGGGTGCATCATTTGTTGTCTGGTGGTGGCTCTTTGCCACTACCTGTGGGCCACCGGTTCTGTCTTGGTGGACACCTTATTGGTTGACTCTGTTTCCTTGGGTGTCTGTTTCAAGGCTTGCACTTCTCATGTGGTCCGCAGTGTCTTTGAGGCTAACCAGCCCACAGTCTACCCTTGGGGCCCATGGTGTTTTAAAATTTGTGCCTTTGGGAGATTTTGGTGCTCAAATGGATTTCAGGTGGCCCAGTATTTAGTCAGTGTTTCTGGTCCCAGTTTGTTGTGTGTTGCATTGGGCTGTATCTCCTAGTCTGGGTTCTCTTTATGGTCCTAGTGCCAGCCACCTCTTCTCCTTGCTGGTTCATCCTGTTTTTGTTCTTTGTGGTTAGTTAGCTTCAAAGAGCCACTGGAAGGAAAGAGGGGGGGGGGGTTGACTTCCTCCAGAAACCCAGTTTTAAATGTAATGAAATACCTCTTTCTGGTGGAGCCCCCTGTGCTCTCTGATTCCCGCCCTCTTTCCAGGTTCGTCAGTTCGTTACTGGTCTCCACAGGTTGTGGACCCCAGCACGGTCTCCTCAGGTTGTGGACCCCAGTAAAGCCTTCTCAGGTTGTGGACCCCAGTACGGCTTCCTCAGGTTGTGGACCCCAGTATGGTCTCCACAGGTTGTTCATCAGCTCTAGAACTGATCGGGAAGTCGGTTGAGCTCAGTCTGGGGCTGGGCTGGGCTAGTGATGGTAATTTGTATTAATAGGTTTCAAGCTAGTTTTAATTTTCCCTTGTTCTTTGTGAATCGTTTTCAGAGTTGTTTTGCAGTATTGAGGCTTCATTTTCTGTGAACCCACCAGTTCTATGTAAAGCTTCCCTGACTTTCTGGAGGCTTTTTCCATTATGGTGGTGAATTGTCATTTGCTTCCTGTGCCTCAGTGAGGGGTGCCAGATTTTGGCTCTTGCCTCTCAGTAGCCCAAACTGAATTTTTGTGACTGATGTCCTTTTTAGGATGGAGAATCTCGGCAAGATAGCTTTAGGGAGCCACCGGAGCTCCTCCAGTAAAAGCCATTTCATTACATTCAATGCTGAATTTAAGATTTTGGATGTTTAACTGCACTAATACAGCATTGTTATAATGAATTCATAAATATTATCAATATTACAGTACAAGAAACTTTGTTAAAAATTTTTTGAATATTTAGAATCCCAAGTTATGTAATTTTTGCCTTTTGAATACAAACCTGTGCTTTGAAGTCAATAGGTGTATTGATATTTATGCGTTGAGCTGCCCGTCGTCGAGCGCTGAGCACTGCCCTTGGGTCTCTCAACACCAATACTACCTGCAAAAAGGTGCACCCTAAACTCTTAAGGCATCAGTGGTCTAGCTCTTGCAACACCTTAAAACTATCCATATATTATCTTTACCCCTGATTGATGCAGTTTATTCAACCAATTAATGTCATCACCAATACTATACCTGCACAAAAGCTTTTACAAAGCTCAAGGCATTAGGCAGGATATTACAGTATACTATATTACAGTATACTATATTATATTAGACTTAAAATAGAGAATGTAATACCAGTGGAATCCAAATCTTAAGCTACATAAGAAAACTTGAGAAAGTTCAGGGATGTGCCACCAGGCTAATCCTTGAAATAAAGGACCTAATGTATGAGAACAAGGGGTCAGATTCACGAAGTAGTTACGCACGCACTTACGAACCTGTACATCTCTCCTCAATCTTTGGCAGCTTTGTTTTTCAGTTATTAAACAGTTAATGAGCTCAGAAGCACCGGGAGGCTGTTTATAACAATAACAACAGGTGATTGGAAAGTTTTCATGCTTGTAAACTGTTTAATAAATGCAACCAAAGCCGTCAAAGATTTAGGAAAGATGTACACATTCGTAAGTACTAGCGTAACTGCTTCGTGAATCTGGGTCCAGATTCAGGAAATAACTAACATCCTTTGAGAAATGAAAATTTTGAGTAGATGTTGTCATGATGGACTAAATACATAACGGTATCAACATGACGGATGGAACCAGGGCATTTATAAGAGCAGGTATAGTATTAGGATAATGAAACACAAAGATAAAGTGATCAAATTATGGGCAATGTGAGTCAACAGTACCAACAATGTTAATGTCATCTTCCTAGTTTAATAAAATGTGTTTTTTATGTAATGCTGTTCAGTACAGTACTGGGTATTAGTAATACCTCACATTTAATTGCGTGATTCTTTTATTGAAAGCCATTGTGGTTTATTGCTAGGATGCATTTTGTACCCATCATGTGATATTCAGGATCTTCTACTTTACCATTTAAATCACCCATTACAATTATTTTGTAAATCTCTGATATCATACCATTTCATTCTCTAAATTATTCCCTCAAAGATCTTTCATTCATACTCATTCATATGGTACTTCTGTCATCACATGGAGCATAAGCAATCACAGTCATCACCTTTATTATTTAGACTTTAATTTTGTGCTCAAGCATCTTGAACTGTAGCATGAGAAGTCATTCATCACCTCATTCCACTCTTTATTAAATGACATACATATATACTCTTTCCTTACTCGTATTTTCTTTCACTACAATATTTACTCTTATGCCATTCTATATTTTTACTTTCTTTCAACTTTGTTTAACATAAGTCTGGTACATCAAATCTTAAATATGTAAATGACTCGGTTTCTTTTGCTTCTCGATTATCTCTTTTTAACAGTGTGAATCAGGCAGATGAGACCAACTGTGTTGTCTGGGGCTTGGGCAGGTGCAGGTCCTAGATCTAAGGCCAGTTTGATCCTTTTGTGGGGAGGAATTTGGGAAGATGTTTCCCAGGCCATTACCCCCATACCTGTATCACAGGGATGCATATATAATTCTACCACATTTAGATGGGCAGTGGGGTTGCTACATCTATTCCCAAAGATAAAAAAAAAGATGTAGGTATTGGCATTACACCAAATCTCACACCAAAGCACATACACATTTTAGAACATCAGCTGCATATGCAAACTAGGTAACTTAGCAGCTACCTTCTTGAGGACCACATAAAGAACATTGTGCGACAAGCCTATGCTATGCTTTCAATTTCAGAATTGCTTTTAAATACATGGATGGCAAAATGCTAAAGAAATTGTTCACAACCTTTTTGACACCAAAGTTCAATATGCATCAGATGTATGGTATGTAACTAAATGCCTTCTGGAATTGAAAGACATGAACTATGAGGAGAGGTTAGAGGCATTAAATATACCAAAGCTCGAAGATAGAAGAAAAAGAGGCAATATGATCACTGTGTTCAAAATAGTAATAAGAATCAACAAAATTGATAGAGAAGAATTCTTGAGATCTGGCACTTCTAGAACAAGAGTTCATAGATTTAAGCTAAGTAAACAAAGCTGCAGAAAAAAAATATTAGAAAATTCACTTTCGCAAACAGATTGGTTAGACGATTGGAACAAATTAAGTGATCCTTCACAGTGGCTGCTCATCCATAGGAGCTGCTACGTTGAAGACCCCCAACATTCCCTGCCAGGGGTATGACTCCATCAATCTTACATTAAAATAATAAGCAAATAACAAATGTGTCATAACAAAAAGTCTATAAATGTTATTTTCAGTATTTATAACTAAATTTTGAAATTTTCACTAAAACAAGATGAAAATTAGAGGTTTCATGCTGTACGATAGTAAGGCTTGCAGTCTCTCCATTCTATTTTTCCATGAGCCGCCGCTGATCCTTCATGACACTTTACAGTGCTCTACACTGATTTTGAAAGCCTGAAATTTGGCATGAAACCAAAATGTTGTATAGCAAAAAAGTAAATTGATAAGTCTTAGAGGCTTGTCACAAGAGTGATGCCACAAATATGAGACAAGTCATGAGGATAGACTAAAAGAGCTGAACCTACATGCACTGAAAGAGAAGACCAAGAGATATATGATCATGATTGAAGACACTAATAAGATTAGTCAAATTGGACAAAGATAATTTGTTCCACAGAAAGAGAAATAGAAAAAAAAGAGGCCATTTGTGGAAACTGGAAGCACAAGTGAGCCTCAGGTATGAGTACTGTACTTGAATGTGTAGTTACAGGATGAGAACTATGCTCGTGGTGTCCCATCTTCCCAGCACTCTTTGTCATATAATGTTTTGAAATTACTGACAGTTTTGGCCTCCTCCACTTTCTCACCTAACTTGTTCCAACCATCTACCACTCTGTTTTCAAAAGTGAATTTTCTTATAACGAACAGTATTTCTTTGGCATCTTTGTTTAGTTAGTTTAAATGTATGACTTCTTGTTCTTGAAGTTCCATGTGTGTGTGTATGGTAATACATGGACTGTAGGAAGAGGTGGTTGAGGCAAAATCAATCCACAACTTAAAAACCATATATGAAAACATGTGGACAATCATAAAGTTACACCAGATATGTACTCAATTGTGAAGATATAGTCCCAAGAGTTATTTCTTCCTGTTTCCCGCCACACGATGAAACTATGATGTTGCTACAATGTTCAAACAAGTTTTAACATCTAACAAGTTGTAACAACCAATATAGAAGTTGTAACAACGTTCTAATATGTCATAAAAACGTTATAAGAAGATGTAATAACTTTATTACAAGTTGAAACAAGCGGAAAATAGGGACAGTTACGTTGTGTGTTTGCAGTACAGTATTACATGCACACACAAGATTTATATTTGGTTGCTGTCATTTTAGTATGTATATATATATGTATATATATGAATGAAAACTCACACCCCAGAAGTGACTCGAACCCATACTCCCAGAAGCAACACAACTGGTAACTACAGGGCGCCTTAATCCGCTTGACCATCACGGCCGTCAAAGGAAGTGATAGCCGAGGCTATTTGAGCCACTTCCCCGACGGCAACTCGGATGGTAATCTTGGGCATAGCATTTCACCAAATCACCTCATTCTTTGGGGCACACGTGAGGAACACAAATGCGAACAAGCCTGAATGGTCCCCAGGACTATATGCGAATGAAAACTCACACCCCAGAAGTGACTCGAACCCATACTCCCAGAAGCAACGCAACTGGTAACTACAGGGCGCCTTAATCCGCTTGACCATCACGGCCGTCAAAGGAAGTGATAGCCGAGGCTATTTGAGCCACTTCCCCGACGGCAACTCGGATGGTAATCTTGGGCATAGCATTTCACCAAATCACCTCATTCTTTGGGGCACACGTGAGGAACACAAATGCGAACAAGCCTGAATGGTCCCCAGGACTATATGCGAATGAAAACTCACACCCCAGAAGTGACTCGAACCCATACTCCCAGAAGCAACGCAACTGGTAACTACAGGGCGCCTTAATCCGCTTGACCATCACGGCCGTCAAAGGAAGTGATAGCCGAGGCTATTTGAGCCACTTCCCCGACGGCAACTCGGATGGTAATCTTGGGCATAGCATTTCACCAAATCACCTCATTCTTTGGGGCACACGTGAGGAACACAAATGCGAACAAGCCTGAATGGTCCCCAGGACTATATGCGAATGAAAACTCACACCCCAGAAGTGACTCGAACCCATACTCCCAGAAGCAACGCAACTGGTAACTACAGGGCGCCTTAATCCGCTTGACCATCACGGCCGTCAAAGGAAGTGATAGCCGAGGCTATTTGAGCCACTTCCCCGACGGCAACTCGGATGGTAATCTTGGGCATAGCATTTCACCAAATCACCTCATTCTTTGGGGCACACGTGAGGAACACAAATGCGAACAAGCCTGAATGGTCCCCAGGACTATATGCGAATGAAAACTCACACCCCAGAAGTGACTCGAACCCATACTCCCAGAAGCAACGCAACTGGTAACTACAGGGCGCCTTAATCCGCTTGACCATCACGGCCGTCAAAGGAAGTGATAGCCGAGGCTATTTGAGCCACTTCCCCGACGGCAACTCGGATGGTAATCTTGGGCATAGCATTTCACCAAATCACCTCATTCTTTGGGGCACACGTGAGGAACACAAATGCGAACAAGCCTGAATGGTCCCCAGGACTATATGCGAATGAAAACTCACACCCCAGAAGTGACTCGAACCCATACTCCCAGAAGCAACGCAACTGGTAACTACAGGGCGCCTTAATCCGCTTGACCATCACGGCCGTCAAAAAGGAAGTGATAGCCGAGGCTATTTGAGACGGCCGTGATGGTCAAGCGGATTAAGGCGCCCTGTAGTTACGTTGGGGCACAGTTGTTGCTTCTGGGAGTATGGGTTCGAGTCACTTCTGGGGTGTGAGTTTTCATTCGCATATAGTCCTGGGGACCATTCAGGCTTGTTCGCATTTGTGTTCCTCACGTGTGCCCCAAAGAATGAGGTGATTTGGTGAAATGCTATGCCCAAGATTACCATCCGAGTTGCCGTCGGGGAAGTGGCTCAAATAGCCTCGGCTATCACTTCCTTTGACGGCCGTGATGGTCAAGCGGATTAAGGCGCCCTGTAGTTACCAGTTGCGTTGCTTCTGGGAGTATGGGTTCGAGTCACTTCTGGGGTGTGAGTTTTCATTCGCATATAGTCCTGGGGACCATTCAGGCTTGTTCGCATTTGTGTTCCTCACGTGTGCCCCAAAGAATGAGGTGATTTGGTGAAATGCTATGCCCAAGATTACCATCCGAGTTGCCGTCGGGGAAGTGGCTCAAATAGCCTCGGCTATCACTTCCTTTGACGGCCGTGATGGTCAAGCGGATTAAGGCGCCCTGTAGTTACCAGTTGCGTTGCTTCTGGGAGTATGGGTTCGAGTCACTTCTGGGGTGTGAGTTTTCATTCGCATATAGTCCTGGGGACCATTCAGGCTTGTTCGCATTTGTGTTCCTCACGTGTGCCCCAAAGAATGAGGTGATTTGGTGAAATGCTATGCCCAAGATTACCATCCGAGTTGCCGTCGGGGAAGTGGCTCAAATAGCCTCGGCTATCACTTCCTTTGACGGCCGTGATGGTCAAGCGGATTAAGGCGCCCTGTAGTTACCAGTTGCGTTGCTTCTGGGAGTATGGGTTCGAGTCACTTCTGGGGTGTGAGTTTTCATTCGCATATAGTCCTGGGGACCATTCAGGCTTGTTCGCATTTGTGTTCCTCACGTGTGCCCCAAAGAATGAGGTGATTTGGTGAAATGCTATGCCCAAGATTACCATCCGAGTTGCCGTCGGGGAAGTGGCTCAAATAGCCTCGGCTATCACTTCCTTTGACGGCCGTGATGGTCAAGCGGATTAAGGCGCCCTGTAGTTACCAGTTGCGTTGCTTCTGGGAGTATGGGTTCGAGTCACTTCTGGGGTGTGAGTTTTCATTCGCATATAGTCCTGGGGACCATTCAGGCTTGTTCGCATTTGTGTTCCTCACGTGTGCCCCAAAGAATGAGGTGATTTGGTGAAATGCTATGCCCAAGATTACCATCCGAGTTGCCGTCGGGGAAGTGGCTCAAATAGCCTCGGCTATCACTTCCTTTGACGGCCGTGATGGTCAAGCGGATTAAGGCGCCCTGTAGTTACCAGTTGCGTTGCTTCTGGGAGTATGGGTTCGAGTCACTTCTGGGGTGTGAGTTTTCATTCGCATATAGTCCTGGGGACCATTCAGGCTTGTTCGCATGTATATATATATATAAGTATCGATACATTTAAAAGAAAGTTTTATAGCAGAGTGACTCACCTTGAGATGCTGGGTGTATCTTTTAAGAAGCTGGAGTATGTGTGTCATGCCAAGGCGAAGAGTATAAACTGCATGTAGGGTGCGGCTGTGGCAGGCACGCTCCACACACTCCCCCAGCTCCACCTGCACCACACAACATATTCCTTGTCCTTATTCCCATCAAAAAACTTGATAATTTTTCTCAAATTGAGATGTTAATACTTGATTGTATATAGGGGGAAACAAACAAAAGAAACTGTATAGATGTACAGTATAAGTGATTTTAAATAAATTTCTCAATTATGATACAGTATATGAAACATAATTTAACAATAGTAATGAAATGTTATTTTAAATAAACCTGTCTTGTTATTTGACACAAAATATTTATATATTTTGATCTTTTAGATTTTAAAGATCACAAAACAGTATTTTTAACAATAAGATGTAAATGTTTCAGAGGAAGCCTGTAATGGAAATACAGTACAGAGTTAGAGGCAAAGATGAGACTTGGTTTAGTTATAATGACACACTGAGCTGCAAGTCTCTTTTTTAAGTTCTATACAGTACTGTCTAAGCTCATTTAAGACAGTATTGTACAGTAGCTCACTGGACTATACGATTTAAGGCTTAACCTCACCGGATAAGCCAGACATCCGGTTAGGCAGAATTCTTACCAGGGAAGTCCAAAAATTACCATATTTGCAATTTTTACCACAGCCAACATAATATGAATTTCCACACACACTATAAATAAAAAATAAAAATGTAAAACAGAAACTTCAGCATCTTCAAGATACTGTAGATCCTGAAAATTTATACAAAGTAACCTAATATCCGGTTATCTGGATTTCTTTCTGGATATGGCAAAGTTTTGCCAGAAAATTATCCGGACAAAATTTTTTGCCGGATAACCCAAATATTCGGTTCAGTGGGCTATAGATAACTGAGCTCATACAGTACAGGTACAGTACTTTATATTCTGATTTATTTATTACCAGTATGCGGTAATTAGGTATTGCTGATATAAATACCTTATGGTTTTGTTATTTTTTTGTCTTACTGCTTCTGTATTTTAGTAGATTTTCATTCAATATCTGGAGAGTATCTCCTTGTATCCCGTATTGGCATGTTCAGTACCTTAAATGAATTTCAATTGTCAGGGCCAGGAAACTTATTCGTAGGCTTACTGAGGTTCCCCCCCCCCCCCTAGGTAAACAACTGACCTTTCCAGTTGCAACTCAAAATAATTGCTTACCTGCTAATTACCTATTTACTGCTAAGTGAATAGGTACATCAGGTGAAAGAAAACGTGCTCATCTGTTGCTGTTCTGCCCGAGGATTGAACCCAGGTTCCTTGGCTGTGAATCTAGGACATAGACCACTTAGCTACAAGACCCTTAAATTATTAGTGCTGTAATGATTATTATAAAGCCAACAATACAAAAGTATAAGCTTTTGGATATATATTAGTATAAGAAATAGATGCCTGAATATTGGTCATAAGATTATAGACGCTAGTAGATGGAGGTTCAGTTCTTGATCCCATTATGTGCCTCTGGGGTAACCTTTTCCACCACAGCCCAAAGGATGGTTATGGGGTCTACTACCATCCACAGGATGGGTATGGGGTCTACTACCATCCACAGGATGGGTATGGGGTCTACTACCACCCACGGGATGGGTATGGGGTCTACTACCATCCACAGGATGGGTATGGGGTCTACTACCATCCACAGAATGGGTATGGGGTCTACTACCATCCACAGGATGGATATGGGGATACATTACCAACCATGAGATGGGTATTTTCCTGGAGTTTACCTGGGCAGGGTTCTATGAGTCCTACTCCCCAAGTCCAGCAGGCTGTTGCTTGTAGAGCCTTGCAGACCCACGTATTTACTACAACCCGGTTGGTTGGGCACTTCTTGTAGAAATTTGTCTAATTTCTGTTTGAAGAATTCCATATTTGTTCCAGCAATATTTTGTATGGTTATTGGATGGTACTGGACCTCTGTTCTTCACTAGTTCTATTCTGCATATCCATAATAACAATTTGTGAACAAATCGCATTATTTACTGTATGGTGTACACTACCACCCATGGGATGGGTATAGGGTGTACTATTGTGGATGGGATGGGTATGGGGTGAAATACTGTCCATGGGATGGGCATAAGGGGGCACTTTTGTGCATGGGATGGGTATGGGGTGCACTACTGTCCATTGGGTGGGTATAGGGTGCACTACTGTCCATGAAATGGGTATGGGCTGTACTACTGTCCATGAAATGGGTATTGGGTGCTCTACTGTTCATGGGATGGGTATAGGGTGCATTACTGTTCATGGGATGGGTATGGGGTGCACTATTGTCCATGGAATGGGTATGGGGTGCACTATTGTCCATGGGATGGGTATGGGGTGCACTACTGTCCATGGGATGGTATGGGGTGCACTACTGTCCATGGGATGGTATGGGGTGCACTACTGTCCATGGGATGGGTATGGGGTGCACTACTGTCCATGGGATGGGTATGGGGTGCACTACTGTCCATGGGATGGTATGGGGTGCACTACTGTCCATGGGATGGTATGGGGTGCACTACTGTCCATGGGATGGTATGGGGTGCACTACTGTCCATGGGATGGTATGGGGTGCACTACTGTCCATGGGATGGTATGGGGTGCACTACTGTCCATGGGATGGTATGGGGTGCACTACTGTCCATGGGATAGTATGGGGTGCACTACTGTCCATGGGATGGTATGGGGTGCACTACTGTCCATGGGATGGTATGGGGTGCACTACTGTCCATGGGATGGTATGGGGTGCACTACTGTCCATGGGATGGTATGGGGTGCACTACTGTCCATGGGATGGTATGGGGTGCCTGCTGCATATGTGGTGCCCGCTACCCACGGGGGGGGGGGGGTGGGAGTTTGGGGGGATGCATAATAAGTCAACAAAAGAAAAATCAAAGCAAGTAGAGGCATAGGAGAGAAACAAGGCCGAATTGAGCATGTGTCAACGGTGGTCTCACCTGGCGGTGTTGACACTCCTTAATGTAGGTGTTGCGGACTGACTGGGACTTCCAGAGGAAAGGCTCGTGCAGAAGATCACGATGCCGTTCCACCGAACAGTTGAATATCTGATGTAGCCACTTCACTCCTTGCTCCGCCTGGAGACCACCGTGATACATTAGTCTTCACCCCTCAGGTCTGTATTCACCTAGTTGTGTTTGCGGGGGTTGAGCTTTGCTCTTTCGGTCCGCCTCTCAACTGTCAATCAACTGTTTACTAACTATTTTTTTCCCAACACCACACACACACCCCAGGAAGCAGCCCGTGACAGCTGACTAACTCCTAGGTACCTATTTACTGTTAGGTAACAGGGGCATTCAGGGTGAAAGAAACTTTGCTCATTTGTTTCTGCCTGGTCCGGGAATCGAACCCGCGCCACAGAATTACGAGTCCTACGTGCTGTGTGTGTGTGTGTATTCACCTATTTGTACTCACCTATTTGTGCTTGCGGGGTTTGAATTCTGGCTCTTTGATTCTGCCTCTCAACTGTCAATCAACTGGTACTCACCTAGTTGTGCTTGCGGGGGTTGAGCTCTGGCTCTTTGGTCCCGCCTCTCAACTGTCAATCAACAGGTGTACAGGTTCCTGAGCCTATTGGGCTCTATCATATCTACACTTGAAACTGTGTATGGAGTCAGCCTCCACCACATCACTTCCTAATGCATTCCATTTGTCAACCACTCTGACACTAAAAAAGTTCTTTCTAATATCTCTGTGGCTCATTTGGGCACTCAGTTTCCACCTGTGTCCCCTAGTGCGTGTGCTCCTTGTGTTAAACAGCCTGTCTTTATCAACCCTGTCGATTTCTTTGAGGATCTTGAATGTGGTGATCATGTCCCCCCTAACTCTTCTGTCTTCCAACAAAGTGAGGCTTAATTCCCGTAGTCTCTCCTCGTAGCTCATACCTCTCAGCTCGGGTACTAGTCTGGTGGCAAACCTTTGAACCTTTTCCATTTTAGTCTTATGCTTGACTAAATATGGACTCTATGCTGGAGCAGCATACTCCAGGATTGGTCTGACATATGTGGTATACAATGTTCTGAATGATTCCTTACACAAGTTTCTAAATGCCGTTCTTATGTTGGCCAACCTGGCGTATGCCGCTGATGTTATCCTCTTGATATGGGCTTCAGGGGACAGGTCTGGCATGATATCAACCTCCAAGTCTTTCTCTCTCTCTGATTCTTGAAGAATTTCATCTCCCAAATGATACCTTGTATTTGGTCTCCTGCTCTGTACACCTATCTTCATTACGTTACATTTGCTTGGGTTAAACTCTAACAACCACTTGTTCGACCATTCCTTCAGTTTGTCTAGGTCTTCTTGAAGCTTCAAGCTGTCTTCCTCTGTCTTAATCCTTCTCATAATTTTAGCATCGTCAGCAAACATTGAGAGGAATAAGTCTATACCCTCCGGGAGATCGTTTATGTATATCAGAAACAGGATAGGACTGAGTATATAGCCTGTGAGATTCAACTGGTGACTTCATGCCAATCTGAGGTCTCACCCCTCACTGTAAGTCTCTGCTTCCTACTTCCTATTGCTTAGGTATTCCCTTATCCACTGGAGCACCTTACCAGTCACTCCTGCCTGTCTCTCCAGCTTACGTACCAGCCTCTTATGGGGTACTGTGTCAAAAGCTTTCCGACAGTCCAAGAAAATGCAGTCCGCCCATCCTTCTCTTTCTTGCTTAATCTTTGTCACCTGGTCATAGAACTCTATTAATCATGTAAGGCAAGATTTATCCTCCCGGAACCCACGTTGGCGATTTGTCACGAAGTCCCTTCTCTCCAGATGTGTTACTAGGTTTTTTCTCACGATCTTCTCCATCACCTTGCATGGTATACAAGTCAAGGACACTGGCCTGTAGTTCAGTGCCTCTAGTCTGTCACCCTTTTGTATATTAGGACCACATTTGCCATCTTCCATATTTCTGGTTGGTCTCCCATCTCCAGTGACCTACTATACACTGTGGAGAGTGGCAAGCAAAGTGCCTCAGCACATTCTTTCAATACCCATGGCGAGATCCTGTCTGGACCAACAGCCTTTCTCACATCCAGATCGAACTGATGTCTCTTGACCTCATCTCTCGTAATTTTGAACCCTTCCAAGGCCGCCTGGTTTACTGCCTCCTCTCCTAGTGCAGTGACCTCACCTTGATCTATTGTGAAGACCTTCTGGAACCTTTTGTTGAGTTCTTCACACACTTCTTTTTCATTCTCTGTATACCTGTCCTCGCCTGTTCTAAGTTTCATTATCTGTTCTTTCACTGTTGTTTTACTCCTGATGTGACTGTGGAGTAGCTTTGGTTCAGTCGTGGCTTTGCTTGCTATATCATTTTCAAAATTTTTTCTCTGCGTCTCTTCTCACGCTAACATACTGATTCCTGGTTCTCTGGTATCTCTCACTGCTTTCTGGTGTTCTGTTTTTTCGGAAATTCCTCCACACCCTTTTGTTCAGTTCCTTTGCTTCCATACATGCCCTATTAAACCATAGATTCTTCTTTTGCTTCTCAGATTTTTCCTTTTGGGCCGGGATGAACCTGTTTACTGCCTCCTGACACTTTTGGGTGACATAGTCCATCATATCTTGTACAGACTTAGCCCTGAGGTCTGTGTCTCATGGTATATCATTTAGGAAACTTCTCATCTCCTCATAATTTCCCTTTCGGTATGCCAGCCTTTTGTTTCCTAGTTCTTTTTGGGGGAGATAAATCCTAGCTCTACCAGGTACTCAAAGATCAATACACTGTGATCACTCATTCCCAAGAGTGCTTCCAACCTAACTTCCCTTATATCCCACTCATTTTGGGTAAATATCAGATCAAGCATGGCTGGTTCATCTTCCCCTCTCATTCTTGACGGTCCCTTGATGTGTTGGCTTAGAAAGTTTCTTGTTGCCACATCCAGCAGCTTAGCTCTCCATGTATATGGGCCTCCATGTGGGGGCTCTGTTCTCCCAATCTATCTTCCCGTGGTTGAAGTCTCTCATGATTAGTAGTCCAGATCCATTACTGCTAGCGACAGAAGCTGCCCTCTCTATTATGTTAATGGTGGCCATGTTGTTTCTATCATATTCCTTTCAGGGTCTTCTGTCATTTGGTGGTGGGTTATATATGACTATGACTATAATTTTTTGCCCTCCAGTTGCTATGGTACCTGTTATGTAGTCACTGAAACCTTCACAGCCCTGAATAACCATCTCCTCAAAATCCCAGCCTTTTCTTACCAGCAAAGCTACACCACCACCACCTCTTCCTTCCCTCTCTTTCCTCACAACACAGTAGTCCTGTGGGAACACTCTATTTGTTATGGTTTTCCTTAGCTTTGTTTCTGTGAGTGCTATTATGTCTGGGTTTTCTTCTAGTACCCATTCTCCAAGTTCATTTGCTTTATTTGTAAGTTAACAAATGGAATGCATTAGGCAGTGATGTGGTGGAGGCAGACTCCATACACAGTTTCAAATGTAGATATGATAGAGCCCAGTAGGCTTAGGAATCCAAGGGAATACATCAGTTAATTAACGGTTGAGAGGCTGGCCGAAAGAGCCAGAGCTCAATCCCCGCAAGCACAACAAGTGAATACACATATGCACACACATACACAGAATTCAATGATAAGTAACGAGAATAAGGCAGGACAGAGAAGAATGGACATATTGTATATTTCTAGACTGCCAAAAAGCCTTTGGCACATTGCCACACAGGAGACTGCTATTCAAATTTGAGAGGCAGGTGGGGTAAGCGGAAAAGCCCTAGCTTGAGTAAGGAATTACGTAACACGCAGTATCCAGAGAGTAACAGTCAGGGCGAGAAGTCAGACTGGCGAACTGTAACAAGTGGAGTACCTCAAGGATCGGTGCTGGGATTAGTTCTATTTATAATATACGTGAACGATATGTCAACAGGCGCCGAGTCCTATATGTCAATGTTCGCGGATGATGCGAAATTAATGAGACGAGTTGTGAAAGATGAGGATTATAAGATACTCCAAGAGGACTTCAACTGCAGAGATGGTCAGAGAAATGAGAAATGGAGTTCAACACAAGCAAGTGTAAAGTTATGGAAATCGGACTAGGTGACAGGAGACCAATGGGTCAGTCACAATGAAGGGAAACTATCTTCTTATGACGATTCGAGAAAGGGACCTGGGAGTGAACGTAACATCAAATCTAGCTCATGAGGCACATATAAATTGGATCACATCAGCATACTCTACGCTAGCAAATGTTAGAACGTCATTTAGACACCTAAATAAGGAGACATTCTGAGCGCTCTACACTGCATGGCGAGACCAGTCTTAGAGTATGCAGATGGAGTATGGAAGCTCCTATCATAGAGCCCCCACCTAAAGAAACACATTAGGAAAATGGAAAAGGTTCAGAAATTTGTAATGAGGCTAGTCCCGGAGTTGCATGGGATGGGATATGAAGTGTGACTGAAGGAACTGAACCAGGCGACATTAGAAAAAGAGAGGGAGTAGGGAGATATGATAGCAGCATACAAAATACTTAGGGGGGATTGCCAGAGTGGAAATAGACAAAATGTTCACACGGAATATCAACAGAACAAGGGGATATGGGTGGAAGCTGGAAACCCAGATGGGTCATAGAGATGTTAGAAAGTTTTTTTTTAGCGTGAGAGTAGTGGGGAAATGGACTAAAGGAGCACATTGTGGAAGCAAACACTATTTATAGCTTTAACACTAGGCATGATAGAGAAGTAGGATTGGAGTCATTGCTTTAAATAACCGGAGGCTAGAAAGGCGGGATCCAAGAGCCAATGCTCGATCCTAGAGGCACAAATAGGTCAGTACATACACACATTATCCTTTCCCTTTCCTTCTTGCTTGTTTTGTCACTGGTCTTATCTTGTGTATGATGCAACAATGACTCCCACATCCGCCGCACGTAGCTCCGGTGCGCAGTTTCCACCCCCTATAACCCCTCAAATATTATCCTCCACTGATTGTAATGATTGGTGTATGTACGGTGGTACGGAGGTTGGACACCTCCGTGATGCGCTGGTCATAAAGCAACGCTAAACTTAGCAGCGGTGTTGTCATGAGGGAGATACCACACCTTGCTTTTATTTTAGTGC